TCAGTGCGTGTGTCCCAAATGACACAACCTGAAGGAAACTTTTGGGACCTCCTTAGTCCAACACTATGATTGCTTCAGTAATTCAGGGACATGAAGGTACGTTTGCCTGCATATGATTTATTAATACAGTATCACTACTGCTGATGCTTCAGAGATACTAGAAAAAACTAGAAACTTCATTCCAGAAATGTCAAACCACGTCTTGAAAGATTCAGTTTGAGTCTCTGTTATCTACGTATCTGTGTGCTTATTCTTATGCACCCATTGATTCTTCCTGGTAAAAACAGGAGCTCATCTTCAAATGCCAGTACTGTCCTAAATGGCATACATTTGCTTCAATTCAGTATAGGTCTATCTGTACACATACATACTTTTCTTCTTCATTTCTCCAGTCTTCTTTCTTTGGCATGCATCGTAACTCTCCTGTGACACTTTTATTACAGGAAAACGAAGGAATTCGCAGAACAGCTAGCTCAGAAACACAAGCACTTTTGGATTTATAAATGAAAACATTCATTTTGCTGTTCTGCTGGGCTTTTGACGTTTCAACAACTTCATCAGGTAAATGGGAGAAGAAAGATAGATGGACACAGGCTACTTAAGGAACTTTAGGGAATCCAAAGAATTTCTGTGTTAAATAAAACTGGGAAAAAATAACTATGCTAAACCACAAGGTGTTTGGTGAATTTATAGGTCATATTGACAACATTGTGCAGTGTGGTTACATCTCTGCATGAATGCTCACATATGCATTTAAGATCAGTATTATATAATCAGATATTAATTCTACTAGAAAACATGAACTCACAGATATTTTCGCATCATTACTCCTCTGAAAACACTGCTGTTACAATCAGATAAGACACTTTTTTATCTCAGTGCTGCTTTATCCTGAAGGGGTGGGGAAAGTGGTGAAGTAATATGCAGGGAAGGTGTATGAAGTGTCAGCCTCTGTGAACAAATTACGAATTGAATAAGATTAATCTCATTTTAAACAGGACTTGCAAATACATATATTTGTGAGCAACAGCTAGAGCATGGGGCAACAACCTAGAGCTTTGCAAATGACAAGGCACACCATTGCTTAGGCCACTAAATTGAGCTTAAATAACCTATTCCTGAAGCAGTTGTTTAAGGTCATTTTATTCTCATTGTAGGGAAAAACAGTGTTTCTAAGGGGCAATTAATCTCATCATAAGAGCTAAAGCTATAAAACATCAAATGAGTCAGATAAGAAAAATTATTTCTGAAACCAGTTCAAAACTTCTGATTCTGTAGGGAATGGCATGTAGAGGATATTCATGCTTAATTTCAGGTATAATTTTGACACCAGATTTGGCTGAAAAAAATTCATTCTACTCATAGAGGAAAATGTTGGTAACGTAAATATGTTTTGTTTCAAAATTACGCAGGATCCATTTTGATTTTTCACTCCAAAACAGTAATTAATTATTTGAGGTTAAGAAACAGCTTTTAGAGTAATGAATAAGTAAAAAAAATGAGCTGGAACATGCCACTAGAGGACAAAGTATTTTTAATTGACCTCCAGATTAAATTACTGATGTGCTTGCTTGTTTATTTGCTTGTGGGCATCACTGAAAAAATATTAAATTATTCATTTTCCTTTTGGCTTCCGGATCAAAAAAATTCATGCTTCACCCCCTGCTCTAATCCAGACTTGAATGGGTTTAAGGAGAGGGCAATGAAATGCCAGCCAATGTCCTTGCTCCATCTGAAACCCCTTCTGCATGGCTGGATGTCGCAATGCAAGTTACTGTTGGAATGTACTATGTAATTCTGGCAAGAAGTCAATATGCTCAAACTCCTCAAGTAACCAAAGCATGGTACTAAGAAATCATTGGAGCAGGCAGAGGCCCAGACAGCCAGTCCATTAGCAGCTTAACCACAGCAGATGTAAAGTCACCAACAAAACTCTCTACGGAGTCTCCCAAAGAGCCAGATGCTAGTGCTATAAAAAGACCTTCTAGAAGCTTGGCATGTTTCCTGCCCACATCTTTTTTTTAAATACATATTCTCTAGATAGGAGGTTGGGTTTTTTTCTTTTTTTTTTTTATTAGTATTTGGGGCTAGAGGTAAGTGGGTAAGTGGAGGAGGAAAAGGGAAGGAGTAAATATTGCTTATTTATTCCAGTTTGCTTGTGAGTGAATCTTGTGCTTATGATAACAATATTCAGTGATAGCATGCCCTGAGACATGGAAAAGCAGTAGGCACAATTACAGCCTGCTCTCACACACATCTTTTCTTATGCATCTTGGACTGACCTACAGGTCCTTCCTCAAAGAGCTCTGTCAATGCACTTGGTGTGAAACACCAGCTGTTGTTTTATTCTGTTCTTCTTCACTGGCTCATATTGCCCCATGGGCCACTCTTTTTGGCAGTCCTCTTGCCTTGCGCTCTTGGCTGATGCACATCAGCTCAGGTGGTTATGCTTGGCCTTTGTTGGTCTTTCCTTTTTATGTTGCTCCATCAAAGGATTTGCATGCTTACTTGCAGCACTACCAGCCCTTTAAGTTTTGCTGAAATAGCTGTGAGCCTTGTGTGAGTCTCAGCTGCTGGATTCATGTGATAATGGTGTTTCAACTGTGTTTTTAGTAACAGCAACAACAAAAACAGTAACAAAACCAATAAACTGCATGGTACAGATACAATCTGTGCCAATAAGATAAGTGCTGAAGCCTAGGACAGATGGAGAAACCAGCTTTACCGATATCTGCACTTAGATGGGTGAATGCCACCCACATACCAAGGTGAAAGGTTCATCTGCATCTGTGGATGAAGACAGATGTTGTTTGGGAAATGCATAGTAAAATATTCTGCAAGATTTAGATATAATACTTCAAGGCGACCACTTACTGAGAGTCTGAGTAGTTTTGAAGAGGTGACTTTGTGTTTAGCAGTTGAGGAAGAAAGCAGCTGATGTGCGTCTGGAGAGATTAGGGTTTCTCCTCTACCTGAGCTGTACCTGACATAGTAACTAAATGTCTCTGAAAAGAAGTCAGAACAAGGATCTTGTTTTGATTTTGATGGAAATTTTGACAGGTTTGGCTCTAGAGTAGACCATGTAGGACTCACTGTATAGTGGCAATAGCCCAATTTAGAGATGAGCTTTGGTGATAGAACAACAGGGGAAGGAGGAGAAAAAGGTAATCAGATCATACGTGCTAGCAAAGTGTTTCTGTAGTAAGCCCTCACAGTACTTCTCAGCTGTATGAGCCCTAGAACTCAAGGTTCTTTAAACTAGAGATGTCTTTGTAACAACAGTGTAGAAGACAGGAGACATTCCCAAGTGGTTCTTTGCACCAGCAGGAAAAGGAGAAAGAGTTGCGTTTGCCTACTACATCTTTGATTCAAAACAATATTAAATTATCACTGGGGCCTAAATATCTATTTACAAGACAGTGAAAGCAAGATGCCTATGAAATGTTTTTTGCTCCATAGCAAACTAGGCCCTAAGAAATCACATTAGCCACCATTGAGAAAGGAAGTGGATACCCACAAAAGCTGCTCTGATGAGGAAACAGATCACTGGTGACTATTTCAGAGAAGCGCAGACTAGTTTGGGTTGGAAGGGACCTTAAAGCTCATCCAGTTCCAACCCCCTGATATGGCCAGTGACACCTTCCATTAGACCAACCAACCTTGACCCCACCCAACCTTGGTCACACATTTCTGGTGTACACTGGAGCAGACCTAGTTGCTAATCCCATGGCCTTATCAATGGCCTGTTCAATGGACGGTTCCATTTAGGACTAATGTTTCAGAGGTGTTTCATCCAAAACCAGTGATTCATGGTGACTTTTTTTTTGCCACTTACTTTCAGCTTTGTGTACAGTTAACCCAGGCTGGGTACAAAACATTCTGGTCATTATCAGCATCTTTCTAATCCTCCCTTTGCACTAGCTTTTAAATTGCTTTTAGCATTTTATTATTATTGCCATCAGCTTAATTCTGCAGTTAGCTCTCTAACTGCTGATTTTTTTATTGTGGCTATTCAAGGCTACATGTTGTTACAGTGCATATATTCATGTAATTTGACAGTTTGTGTTCTCTCATTCATAACATTCTTCTCTGTGAGGATGACCTCTTCAGTCATTGCTTTGCAGTTTGTGTCCTTGTATTCCAGTGTTCCACCGATTATCTTTTCTCCACTAAGTTTCCAAGTTGCCTGTTTTAACAATACCTGTTGCTGGTGTTACATATTCAGAGTTTTTGGTATTTCCTAACAAGCTCTACTAGCCTATAGCTTCTCCTTTTTCCACCCCAAAGGATATATATTTTTTTATTTTTACTTTTAAATTTATTATTCCCCAGAAAATGAGCCAGCTTAATTTGTGTGCTTTTTCACTCTTCTCAGCTCTCCTTTTCCGCTACTGATTTTTTTTTCCAAAAGCATTTATTTCCCATTTCCCCTTCCCTCACACAGACACAGAAACAATGATGAAATCAAGTGACAAAGAATCACGTTTCACTGAGAAAGCTATAGGACCAAGATACCTATATTAGAACAATTTCCAGACTTTTTACTTGTTTCATAGGTCAGACTGTTGGAATGCGAAGTAATCCTTGTGGAGAAGAGGCGCATTTTAGGAAACATGGTATACACTTCTGTTTTGCTGTGGTATCTTCCAAAGCTGAGAAACATGTGAACAAGGTTGTATTCATTGCCGATTGCTATGAATTCTACTTTTATTGTAATTGTAAAGTTTAAGAGTTTCCTTGTATACATGAGATTCATACAACTGGTTTAGTTTCTTTTCTCCCTTACACTCAGCATTTTTTTTTAACAAATAAAAGACAAAAGTGAAAGTCCCTTTATTTTTGGAGGAAGAGTGGAGGGATATGGTTAAATGACTAATTCTTTTTCTTATTATATATTTAGTCATGAAAAAAATTGCTCTTTTTTTCTCCTCTTTCTTAACAGTTTTCTATTGCTGTTAGTCTTCTATCAGAAAGAAATTACAATGCCCAGGTATTCAGAGTTCAAATTCCAGTCTTTTCAGTTTCTTAAGTTTATTGAATCTCCACAGAGGCCACCCTTTTCCCATGAAGAAACAAGGCAAAACAAACAAAAAAACATTTATCCAAATAACTTTAGGAACAGCATATTTTGTAGCTCTGTAATGAGAATCCAGACTGAAAAAATGAGAAGACATTCCATTACACTGAAATCCAAGGCCAGCATCTGGGTTTCTCGGTTCCTGTCTTGTCCTAAAAAGAGTTATTTTTAAGCATTAGAGGAAGAGAGAAGAAACAAACAATGCCACCAGGAATCAGCCTCTGTTGTCCTCATGCATCTGTAGTCAGCTTATTGGCAGCAAGGCCTGCAGCTAAGTGTCTCCGCACTAGGTAGATGCCAACTGATATCAAAGAGCAATCACACAATGTGACAGAATATCCTTAGTCACATTGGATATGCTGGGAGTGTAAGATTCAACCCCAGAATCTTACACTCAATGTGTAAATGACGGACCAAACATGGGAAGCAATGATCTGGAGAGACAGCATAGCTATGTCAGGGTAAAGAATCATCTTTCCAGAAAAACAGTCCAGTTTCTTTGCTATTGGATAGTTTCTCCCACTTCTGTTATCCCTCTATTATCTTTAGTCAGTCTTCCATCAGCAACATTTGAGCACAGAGATTTCTCTTAGATAGTGTTTAGATTTCAGGCAGGATTCAGTTGCTGAACAATAAGCCTCTGATGCAATTTGAGAGCCCCAAGGCAAGCAGAACATTCCCATACAAATGGTAAATATGACATAATGTTCATGTGAGATTTATCCTTCTCAGCATTGGCAGTTGGACTAATTGGATGAAGTGAATCACTCTGAATGTTGCATCTAACTGGACCTCCTTTAGGTCTGGAAACATAGATACCCTGCTTTCATAAGCATACTTGTAGGCATATTAATCTGATTTGAGCCAAGGAAGACTATGTCAGCCAGTCAAACACTGATGGCATATTCTAGGACTTTACCTAGTCACATGATTTCAAGCCACAGGACTCAATTCACTTCCCCACTCCTCAACACCTAAAGACACCCGAGTTTTACTAGAGTACTCTGCCTGGCTGCCAGCCGCCAGAAAGCACTAGTCTGCCATTGGCTCTGCGTCCCATCTGTGAGGCCATGGATATATGACACACCTGGAGCATCTCAGACAAACCATGAATCTACATATGGGATATCAAATTGAGCCTCTGTAAATAGTCGATAGTGTAACAGTTATCGACTGTCCTTCCAACAGTACTACTCTACTACTTAAGATGATTGTATGATTAAAGCTAAATAAGGTAGTATTGTAACACAAGGTTTGCATTAAGGAAGCATCTGAACAATTCTGACAATATCCAACTTGCTCCCAGAGATTCTCTTTTCCAACATTTTTGGTTATTTGATCTTATTAACGGATATGCATTCAAGAGACAAGCCGTGAGATAAGCTTGACTCTGCTCATCACACATTCAGTCACATAGCAGGGAGACAGTTGTGTGCATTGCTTTCACAGGGGTTCCATGTAGTCCACTGCACATATCTCACAGCCCTGCTTCACAGTGCAGTGGTTATTGGATCACAAGTACGGTAGAGTGCTTTTTAGCTATGTGAGAAAGCTTAATGTGTCCTGCTTCCCATGTCTTTCCTGCTGAGTAGTGTAAGGAGTAGATATGTAGCCAATCTGGGAGTGTTTTCTGCAGCAATGTCTACTGGAAAGGAAGACTAGCTGGCTATAATCCTGCAGAGCACTTGTCCTGGGAGGTCTGCAGAAACAGTGGAACAGTCGCTAATTGAAGATGTAATTGGTTACTCTGTATGAGAACTAGTACATAGCACCTGGGGACAAGCCAGTGGAGAGGCTGTATATATGAAAAGCCAATACAGAGTAATAACATTAATTGTTCTTAGAAATGAAAAGACACAGTCCGGTTCTTACACTGGGATACAGCTCTAGCTTTCCTTGAGCATATAGGAATGGCCAAGAAACACGAGCCACTACTTTATTTTTGGACTCAAATCCAGATTCCCACTGAGTTAAAATCCAGTGTTTTAGGATTTGTTTGTTATATGCTCTATGGCAAAGGGCCATCACCCTTTCAAGGGTAAAGACTTAATTTGTCTTTTCTTTAACATGCCAACAGTAGCACAGCAGGGAGTGAAAGATGTCACTATTGAATGATGCCCATCATGGCTCATTGGCAAATCAGTGGCACACTGGTTCTCTCTGTGTCAGGACTTCTCAGCTCTCTTTCCAAAGCACTATAATCAAAGAAACTCTTCCTGCCCCATCTGCTGCAGCTCCCAGCCCTCTGCCAGCTCTTCAGCTTACCACTGCTCACTTGTTTTCTTTGGTGGCTGATGTTGCTTCAGGTGACAAGGACTTTTGGTACCACAATGGGAATTTTCAGTGGCAGTGGGTTTAGGATAGGATTAAAGATTGAAAACATCTCTAAACAACAAATAAGAATCATGGTAGCTGTGGGATTACCCACTGTGGCTGTGGGCCAATCCAGACCTTTGGAATGGAAAACTGGGAGCCAGTGTTGGAAAGCTGAGCATATGTTCAGAGAAAATAAATGCCTTTAAAAAAACGGATCAATAATAAGAAAAGAAACTCATCTTTTTTTAGCCAGTTTACATTTTGTTCAATTATGTCTGGGAACAAAAGTCCCCAAAACCTGGATGTGACTTCAACTTAACTCCCTCCCTGGGATGCCACTGAACATAATAAAAGCCACCACACAACAAAAAAGTCTTGGTGGGCTGTGATAATGTCAGCTGCAAAAGAAAAACAAAGCTAGGCCTGGTGAGGACATAGTAAAAAAATTAAAAAAAAACAGAAGAAAACAAAACAAAAGAAACCCACAAGCAAACAAAACCCAAACCAACCAGAACAAATTGGAAAGAAGCCACTGCTTTTCCCTATTTATCAGATACTTTGCAAAATAGATGGAGTTGGTTAATTCTCAGGTCAGCCCTTCCGCAGTAGATGAGCAGAGATAAATAATGGTGAATGCCAGCTCTAAAGAGCAGGCACCTTTTCCAGGAATACAAAAATAAGCAATAACTAGTAAATACTGGAAATAAAATTCAGCTCATTTGCAATGGCAAGACAGAGATAACCTTAATGGTACTGTGGTTTGGAGAACACCACTGAATAATGCCAGAAGATGTGCTGGGCAAAGCTCATGCCTTTTCCTGGAAAACCAACCTATTTGCCGGAATATATTGGGAGCCAGATTTATGGAAGGCAAGTAAGTGCAGGTTCAGTGAATAAACATGCTTTACTCCTTCTTACCTGTTTTTCCTCACAGTTTTTGCCCATTCATTCTCTAGTCAGCTCAGTTCTACCTCCTTCATTTCTAGAAGTGTAAGAGCTTCTAGAAATTCGTAAGAGATGTAAGAGATTTGTAAGTGGACATGAAAAATATGCATCCTTTGAAGTTTGCAGTCAACCATAAGGGAATGATCAGTTTGTTCTTTGGAAATCAAATCCTTTCAGAATATAATATGTTGGACTTCTAAAATAAAGGCATCCAGATTTACCAGACAATTGCAGAAAGGTCACCGATTTCTGTGCACTTGATAGGATGAGGATAACATTTCACTCATTCTTGTCCTACCTCCTTGTACAACATGCTGAAAATATTCACTGTCTTTGATTAATCACTTACACATTCTTCAAACCTATTTGAGATGCCAAACCCAAAATAATAAGCTATGCAAGAAGAATAGAAAAGACTCACCTGGTGTTCAATTAGCCATGATATGCTTCACAAAAGCTGGAAACGAGAAAGAGAAGGGTCATTTATCAATCACTTTTGTTGAACTCAATAAATTATTGGGTATCTTGGTTTGATTGTTATTTAAATTCACACTTTTTGTTTCCTCTGATGCAATGAGAACCACAGCACTTTGTAAATAAGATTCCAAATGCTGGGTGCTAAACGCTTTGTAAGTCCTTAAGGTAACATGGTCAGTGCAGTGTAGCCAACAGTCTCGGTAGCCAGGGGAAATGAGTGTGCACATCAGTTAATCCATACCTTGCTTAATCCCTTACCCCTGGCTGCCATATGGAACTGGCTTTCCAAAGCATACAGCAATGAGAAACCCTGGGTCCTTATCTTGAAAGGCTTTCAAGACTTTAGCACATTTGTACTAAGTCAGGGCGCAATAAAGTTTCCTCTGGTGTGAAATTCCAGTATGCACAGAAGCTCACCAAGTCAGGTATCATGACTATCTCTCTCCAGTGAACTCAGGTTTACCAAGTATTTCAAAATTGAATCAAGCTTTTGTTTCAAAAAGTTTTGGGTTCCATTTTTCTCCATTTTAAAAAAAAGCGTTCATTGTATACAATTTTTAAATTCAAAAGGAAAAGGAAAAATACATCCTATAGTAAGGATTTTTTTTTTTTCTTTCCCAGTAATTCCCCCAGGCTATGAATATCTCTGAATTCACCATGAATTCATAAGTCATTTGGGTTGGCTAAATCCATAGATTTCAAACCCATAAAGTACTTGTAAGAAATGTTTCCCTGAACTTGGATCACTGGTATTTGTGAGTAGAAGGAGACTACCAACCCAAATATTCATAAAAAGCTCAGTGAATATGACCAGCTAAATCACAAAAACAATGCAGTGGTCACTCACTAGTCAACCTTAAGAAGGGCTCAGCTGTATACAGAAGTGCGTGTTCATGATTCCTACTAGAATATTGTCTTTTTATAAACAGCCTGAGCATGTGGGCTTGCAAGATGCAGAAAAGAGCTATGGTGCATGTACTCATGACTTTATTCTGGCTTTCTAAAATAGCAATGAAATAAAATGGAAAGTCTTTGAGAAATCTTTTAGGATTAGCACCCAAAAGAGGATGATAAGGATGAATTTTTTTGCTGAGTTTTTGATGGAAAATTCAGTGCTTTTTCTGTAAGGAAAGGAAGTCTCTAAAGGGATGTGGGGTTTTTCATTTGTTTGTTTTTTGAGAGAGCAAGGAACTGTGGACAAGGTAAAAAAAAAAATAATGGTTTGGGGTTTGTTTGTTGTTGTTTTTTTTTGTTTTTTTATAAAAGCAAGCAAAATAAGAATACACAGCCCCACTTTCCGAAGGGGCCATGGCCATTCAGCTATGGAAAACACAAGTAATCTTCAACAGATCAGGTGTACCAGCTGAATTATAGAATCTAAGTTGGTCTAAAATATGGAAAAGCACATATCCTGCTTTAGATCTTCCACAGATTTAAACTTTCTCATATTTGCAGCAAAGCCTTCAAGCACATGATCAATGCCCAGTCTGAAGAGGTTATACTTACCTTCATAGTTGATACAGCCATTGGCATCTTCCTGACCAGCCATAAGCTTATCAACTTCCTCTTCAGTCAACCTCTCACCTGGTGGAAAGCAAAAAGCCTGTTCAGCACCTGGGCCCTTTTTTTAAGTATTTATGATGCATACTTCAAAGAACCGAAGAACAAAAAAGAGAGTGAGAGAAAAGAGGGTGATTTTCTCTTCAGTTTAATTTGTGGTGCTGACTGCTAGGAAAGCTACTTTTGTCCTTGCAAACTGAGAAAATTTGATCTGAAACCCAGAGAGACAGAATAAATATGGAAACCCACATGTTATCAGGTTTACATACTCATTCTTCTAAGAATAAGCTTTCTCTAAGTGCCAAACCTTGAAGGCTTTAGTCACATTTTAACCAAGCCTTCATTAAAAAAACCTTTCAGTAGAGTCAGGATCTAGTTTGCCTCTGAGTTTGAGTTTCAGGAAGATTCTAAGATCTAATTTAGGATCTCTGAATTGGATCAGTGATTCTTTCCATTTAGTTTCATTCTCTGAATGTCAGGAGCCAATTCTTCTGTAAGGTTTTATTTTGGTTAAACAGAGATTAACCCAATCCATCCCCTTATTCTGATATTAGGCACTAATTTTAGGATGAACTCAAATGAGTTCCAGAAAAGTAAATGAGAAATCTGAGGGTGATTTCAGCTGAAATCACAGAAATTCAAATAATGAAATGAAAAAATGAAATAAAATAAAGTAAAAACTAAACAAATAAAATAAAATAAAATAAAATAAAACAAAACAAAATGCATTGGGTACACCCTGTTATCCATGTTGTTCTCCTTTTTCCATCACTGACTTCTGGCACACAGAAACAAGTCCTTAGCTGATGTGAATCTATGAATGTTCAATTTTTTTTTATTATTTTTTTTTACTTAAACAAAGAAGAATGCTAATTTACAGAATATTTGGCTTTGCCTAGGATTTGGTAAGTATTAGAGATGCCACCCAAAAGAGAACCATTAATTCTTAAGATAGAAATACTTCTTAATGGTGAATATCAGACATTGCTGTATTACTGGAAATAGAAAAGTAGAAAAGTATTTCTTGCAGTATTGTGAAACTTGTAATACTGCCCATACCGTTTTTTTTTTTTTTGTCCCAACTAAGTTTAGACAGGGCATCAATCCTGACCCTGGTGGGGGGGTGTCATCACTGAATTTGGTCCCCAAACTGATTTGATATCACCAGCAATAAAAAGGAAAATAGCATTGCTTTCTTTTCTTATTCCCTGTGCCACTAATAAACATTGATGTGTCATTGAATTAAAACCCCCAGGCCTAAAAGCTTTAGCTTTCTTGAATTGATATACCAGGTCACAATGGAATACTTTTGTCTAAATCAAATCTCTTTTGTAAAGGATCATCCCTTTTTTAAAAAATAGTGGACAAACACTAGTGAAAAAGCTGATTTTGAGAAATGCTTACTGGATTCAGATGACAGCATGTCAGTGCCTTCTAATCCAAATGGAAACCTGTCATTAAGTTACAGCAAAATTTTCTGCCCTGCACTCATTCTCTTGTCAGCACTCTGTGAAATCAGAGCTTCTGAAGTAAAAATTTGAGAGGACAGATATTGATCCCTTCTTTAAAAACAGGGACTTTCAATTTCAAAGACACTTCTGTTAAACAGATGACTGATAAAAAAATGCATCATCTTAAAACTTTTATTGAAGGTGCAGAAAAATATTGAATAGCATTCCAATGTTTGGATAGTTTTATGGTGATAGAAATATAATATTTATTGGAAAATAACACAAAGGAAGCAAGAAAGCAAGCAAAAGGCTTCCTTGAACAGTAGGTCAGTGATATTTATCTTCATTATTAAAGAACATTTTCTTAGTCTTTATACTGAAGACAGTGCAAAATTTGAAATCTTGTTCAATCGTTTCTTTCCATAGAGGTTACCCATAACAATACAAGCTGTAGGGGAAAAACCTCAGTGATGAAACTGCATAAGGAAAGGTTCACCTTACCCAGTGTAGCCAAGACATGGCGGAGTTCAGCTCCCATTACTGTTCCATTTCCCTCCTTGTCGAACACACGCAGACCCTCCACAAAATCCTCATAGGTGCCTGTGTCTTTCGTCTTAGCAATATGCTGGAGCATGGGCAAGAAGGTCTCAAAGTCAATCATCTTGGAGTTCATGTCTACAAAGACACAGATGGAAATGAGGATTCTGGGAGAGTTAAAGACTATCCATGGGGCATTTACCATGGGTAAGTCATGAGGGTAGAAGAACTATGGGAATAAACACCAGCTAAAGAGAAGAGCATAGAAGTGTATTAAGTACAGATGGAAGAGTGGATAGAGTAGGAAAGAGGTCTGGCGGAGAGAGAAATACTTACCTTCCACTGTTTCACTGACGTACCCCAACATATCACAATTGTTGAATGAGGGCTTAATTGACAATTCCACCCCAGTGGAAGGAAAGGACAGAGAAGTAATTTACAAAATGCTTAAATGTAGATATGGTTTGAGAGATTTTCTTTGCTCTGAAGAATTATCCAGTGTATGGTCAATGTTGAACGGAGATATTGCTACCATCATTACAGACCTTCTAATGCATATTTTTGAAGAGCAAGCTGTGCCCTCACAATCAGTCTATCCCTCTTTTTTTTTTTTATATGTCTTCAAAATGTCTGCATTTTTAGTAAACACACATGAATGCCTGCCATCAAAGCAATTTTAAAAGGCAGAAACACATTGACACAAGGGACCATTAATTCGTTCTTCTACATTTGAGATGATATTAACTGCAAGATTACATTTCCTCGTTTACTTTTCTGCTGGTGATTTGCAGAGGCTGTTCCAAACCCTTTGTTATTTCACAATCTTTCCATCAGAAAATGGATATTTCATCTGCTTCACAAAATTCTTGGAGTGATCTTTTTGAAACAAACACAGAGGAGGACACCAACCTTCCGGTTTGGGCCTGCCAAGCACTTTCAAGACCTCAGCCTGGGTGGGATTCTGCCCCAAAGCTCTCAAGACATCTCCGCATTGTGCGTATGTGATTTTCATCTCAGATTTAGGAGTCCGGTCAAAGAGTGAGAATGCTTCCTTAAATTCTGGAAGACAGAAAGATAAAAAGAAATGCATGCCATGTTCCCACAGATTAAGTCAAAGTGAGCCTAGACTTTCCCCCTAGCTAACTCTGTCTGACCCTTTTATTTTGCAGTTTGGGAACAAATTTGATGAGCTTTGTTTTTGCTGCTATCTGCAATGTTTGTGTTCCTCCTCCCCTGCATTTTCTGGTTCAATCAGGGAATGGAATCAGAGGTTTCAAATGCTCTTCTTATGGTATTTCCATCTCAGCTAACATCAAGAAGTGCAGAAAACCTTACAGAAATGGTTGGCCTTGAGAGCTTCCTAGCTCGTCAGAAGCAGTCAGGATGGCATAGAATTCAATAGCAGTTCTGCTCGTTAGCTAACTGGATATTTTATTCAGCATTATACACTTAGAGAGCACTGGCACAGCCTATTGAGATAAAGGAGTACCTCTCTTAGCAGGTAACAAGATATGCCATGATAACCTGTTGGAATAATCACACAAGAAACAGTTGGGCAAGGGTGGAAGTATATGGAAAGCCTGGATTCCCCAGACACACTGACTGCTCAGGATCAGGTCTCACTGCTGGAGTTGCAGGTGAATTGCAGAGACCAAGGAGCATCTCAGGGTGCAAGCAACAGTAATAGGCTGTTATCGTTCACTGAAAACACTGCATAGTGCATGGTCTATAGGTGATCATAGATACCTTTTGACTTTAAAGCTGTGAATCTCTGAATCTGCCTTTTGTCCTGCTGTTACTCTTCTGTATGTTTCCTTCCCACTATCCAAATGCAGTGAGGAATTTTATTCCCTATCTCTTGACATTTAACCATTCAGCCATACATTCTGCATCCCAGATTTTCTCTCTTTCCCTTCTCAATTCCTTCTCCTCCTCATTATTCCACCTCTCTTTTTTCTTTTTTTCTTCTTTGCTCATTTCTCTCTCCTTCCTTCTTCTAGTGTTGTTGGGTTTGCCTCCCCTTCTTTCTCCCTCCCTTTTCATTTTTATCATTGCACTCATATCTTACTCATCATTTCTTCATCCAACACTTTCAAATGATGATGCCTTTTGTCATTTCGGACAAATCAAAGCTCACCTTTTTTTTTTTTTCTTTTAATCTTCCTCTTTGCTCTCTTTCACTCTCCCTGCCTCTCTCTCTCCTGGATCTTTGCCTCCTTGGCACCAGTGCCGGAGCCCAGGTCCCATTGGCAGCCCTCATTCCAGCAGAGGGCAATAGCGGATTTTCATGGGTTCCTTGCTGCAGTGGAAGGGGGCAAAAAACCCACCCCCAGCTCTGTCCTTTCCTGGAGGTCTCAGCAGCTCAGATGGGTGAGAAATACAGCTACCTCCCTGAGCTACTCATCTGCCTGCCACTTTCCTATTGCCTGAGCACCCTCTGAAGGTTCACAATTCATTCTTTTTTCTTTTAAAATCAGGTGTAAAGCCTCCCACCAGAATATTGGCCTGTGTGTTTGGACACCCCATTTTGTCAATATACAAAAGCAGCCTATTTTTTTTCATTATTATTATTTGCATTTTGGATTTGCTGGCTTCATGCAAGTTTCCATCAAAGCAATGAAACCAGCCTGGCTATGGTCTCCTTTGACCTTCTGCTAGCTAATAAACCACTGGCAGGAACAGTGTATATTTTCATATGCCTAATTGCTACCTAGCTTCTCATCTTGAATAGTTCATATTCTTCATTTTTCAGTAACTTAGGGGCTAAAAAGGCCAGAAATACAGTTTCATATATACACATTGCCACAACCAGCGAATATCATTGGCAGCTGAGGCATAAAGATGTATAAAGATGGCTGTGTTACTCATGGCTTTACCCACAGACCATTCTTCCTCTGAGAGTAACATTTTGGAGGCTAACATAAAAATGAATCCTTGCAGGAAAATAAGTCTGAAGCAACAAAGTTTTTTTCTCAGGAAAAGGAATAGGTTCTGGGTACCCTACAAGACAGGGCCTGGAAAACACCTTGAGATGCTTCATTGTCTGTTTCTTCTCCACCACCTCAATTCAGAATGGACTGCCAGAAAACCAGTTGTGTCAGTCATGACATACTGACAGCCAGTAATACCTATCATACAGGATAGACTTCTTACTGATCTAGTTTCACCTGACAAATCAGGAAATATTTCATCTCACTGAGGAACCTAGGTCCTCATCTGGTCAACAGTGAGAGAAAGTGGTGATTATTATACATTACAGGTTTATATTTAAATATCCCCACTTATAAAGGCATGAGAGGTGACCTTGACCTCCAGACAACTTAATGAAAGAAGAAATTTGACAAAATTAACAGTGCAACGCAGAGCAGAAAATGAACACACACACACACACAAAAAAGTGCAACTGAAACCTAGAAGAATGAGGAGAAAACAGATCAAAAGGACATATTCCAGACCTTTCACAAGTCCCAGCTCTCAAGTGATTTCAACAGTCAGTATTGCAGCTATAATCATGGCAAGTGGTGCTTGCTTTCTAACCTGTGGTTTTAACACAAAATAAAATGGTCTCAAGCACTGGCATACTGACTGTCCACTTTCTTAAGTCAGTGGTACACTTCTTGGCAGGGTTTTGACTTGTGCAATCCAGTACAGAGAACATAGTGTGCCAGGAACAGTCCAGGGACAACTGTGGATTGTGCAGTAGATATAATTCTACACCTAAAGCAACTAATCTCTTCCAAAGAGTAAATATATATCTAACCACTATCAATCTGTCTGCTTAATCATCTGTGAACCTAAGAACTTTCTACCTCCCAAGGACAAGTGAAGGAAAAATTAAAAAGAAACAGAAGAAATCAGAGGGAAGGAATTGAGCTAACTGATCAGCAGTGCTTTTCTGCTCGGTTCCCCAGGTGATGTTTAGGACATTAGGTACTCCTTCCACCAACTCATGGCAGAACCTACGAACCAACTGTGTAATTAACCCTGAGTGGATTTAGTGTTTCTTCCCAGTGCTAGTACACAATATAACTCTGCTATGTTGTGGTAGCTGATACGAAAGTGTCATAGTCTTTCCCACACAGATGATGTTATCTGCTTCCTGCCCTATGGCTTTCCCTCTAAAATTTCTAGGACATCCTATTTCACAAGTCCTTAACTCCCTGCTTCTCTCTGTGTAAGCAGTGAGTACAGCTAGACCAGAAGTCATTTGTAAGAAGAAAATTAAAAAGAAGATGCAACTTTCTGTTTCCAGAGATGCTCTGCATCTGCTCTAGGCTTGTTATCTTTTTTGACAGCCCTAAGTTTTCTCCAGATTTGTCATTTCCTAGCCATGCCAGAGGGCTGATAGCCAGGCAAGCATCCCAGTTTTTATGAATAAGTCTTTTCCCATTTTCTGATGCAGCCTCTAGAGCTAGTTATCCTCAGGGAAGAGAGAAAATAAGGCATAGAAACTAGGTGGGTCTTATCCAGTCCCCAAAACATTAACTGATGAGAGATCAACTGTTGTGTGCTGCTGGAATAGTTCAGAGGTTTGTGGCTCAGCATTGTGCCTCTTGTACGGTTCTCCCATGACTTTGGGACTAGAAAAGGTACAGCCTCCCAGAAATTAATAGTTGGCTCCAACCATGAGTTACTTTTGACCTGTTGTTAGCAAATAGAAACTAAGCCAAACCAAGTAAGGGGAGATGGAGGGAGGAGGGGGGTGCTTGAAAATCCCAAGGCAATGCTGGAAGTCTGCAGCCAAGCCTCAGTCTTTAAGATATTATGGCATTTGGTTCCAGTTCAGAAAATCCTTCCTTCTGTATCTGTCCTCTCTAAATCAGCCTGACTGGATTTCATGGTTGGGTTTTTTTCATCTGTTCTAATTAGCCCATTTTCTGATACCATCTTTCATAGTCTCTACCAAGTTCTGCCAAGTGTTTAAAGACCAAAACAAAATGCCAGACATTTGTGACTCCATCTATCAATTATCCTTTAAGTAAAAAGCAAGCTGGTGGTTGAGTAAAAAGGGAGACCTGCAATGGTAGCTTTCCCAGGACTTCATGCATGAGGTTTTAGTATCACTTTCTTGGGCTGGGACAAAGGTTTCAGAAACAAATGCTGATGTTTTGCTTTGAAAGAAAAAGAACGCCATCGCTGCCATTATTGGCTGGTTTCTGGAGAGCTGTCCCTAAACTGTAACACATTAAATTCTGATTGAATACAGGGAAAAGTTCTCAAAAGCAGAGTTGGGAGACTTTCGTTTGAAAGCACTGACATATTGCTAGTGGGATTTTTAAAACAAAGAGCATATTTGGACTGAGGTGTTTTTTTTGGGGGGGGTGGTTCTTTTTTGTTTTTTCCTCACTGAAGTGGAGCTGATATGCACTTTAACAAGTACCTACTCGGTGCATGACTTCCCCTTTTTCTCTTGACCAAATCAACAGAGGAGGGAAGGAGCATGAGCAACGTCATGAATTAAAGCACAGCCTCCTCCAAGCACCTCAAATACCACACTTGTGTTCACCCCAGCACTTGCCAGCATGTACCAGTAACAATATTTACTGTGCGCAGAAGAGAAACACATCTTCCTCACCTTCAATCTGATCAGCAGTGAATTCAACCTGAAAAAAAAAAAAAAACAACAAAGAATAACAGCCAGATAAAACCCAGAAAACAGAAGCAAACAAGAAAACTGGTTTAGTCTTTGTCATATGTTTTTAGGTGGTTTTAAGGTCCATGAAAGAGACTTACTTATAATGCCAAGACAATAATTTTATAGAGCCTATAGATTCTTGTTTTTTCCTCCTCCACCTTCACCATCCCCATCTTTAGGGCCTCTGCCCTTCAGATGCCCTTTATTCTTCTGCTGCTCTTGTGTTCCTGCTGTAGTCTCTTTCCTTTATCCCAAGTGATTCCCCACTGCTCACACTCTCTCCCTCCAGAGATGGTTATGGTAGCAGCAGGGTACTTTCCTGAAAGGATTTTATCTGTAGACAAATGGGGATCCATAGTTTTTCCAGTAAAAGAACTAAGGGCTATCAAGTGAAGCTGGCGCAAATCAGGCTCAAAGGAAAGTGAAGGAAGTGGTTTGTTTTTTTTTTCTAATAGCTGAACTGTGGAAAGCTGGTTATGGGATACTGTGGATGTTCAGTCTACACGTGTGTAAAGAGTCACAGGACCATTTCAGGGGAAAGTAATATGTTTCTGTACAGTACAGAGTATACTAAAATACATAGTTTAGGAAGTGTCTGTGTGAGGTTTAGGACAGTGTTCTGGGGAAGTTTTCCCCAGATCTTGTACCTTTTCCAAAAGTATCCTCTAATAACCACTGCTGTACTACACTGGACAACTCTCTGGACCTTGCTCTGACTCTGCAATATATATCATTTTCTCACCACTTCATATTTCCACCTGTTCCCTAAGTTTTGGGGTTGTCATGCTCCATATTTTTACCTGGCACAGCACTCTAGTGGCTGTGGACTTCAAAAATGCTACAAGATGCCAAAAGGCTGCTGCTGAGCTCAAATGAAAAACAAGGAAAACTAATGCCAGTGTGAGGTCCAAGCTTCTGCATGAACAGGCACAGGACAGCAATGTGAATTTACACCAGAATTTAAACCTGCCTCTGCAAAACAAACAGGTTGGGAACATTCCTGCAGTGCAAGAAGACAGGCAGGTTGCCCTTATGGTGAATACATAAATAAAGAGAAACCATATTTTGCTATGCAAAATTGGATAGATTGGATATAAGGAGGAAATTCTTTCCTGTTAGGGTGGTGAGGCACTGGAATGGGTTGCCCAGGGAGGTTGTGAATGCTTCAACAGTCAGTATTGCACCTGACTGGCACCACCTCTGGCAGTGTACAAGACCAGGTTGGACAAGACTTTGGGTGATATGGTTTAGTGTGAGGTGTCCCTGCCCATGGCAGGGGGGTTGGAACTTGATGATCTTAAGGTCCTTTCCAACCCTAACTATTCTATAATTCTATGAAACATAAATGAATATGTGCAAAGCATACGCTTGGGAAACACCTAACAGTACATGAATGGATGCCCTTGGAATCATTCCTCTGAAATAGACTCATAGAATAGTAGAATGGTCTGGGTTGAAAGGGAGCTTAAAGATCATCTAGTTCTGCCACCCTTGCCACAGACAGAGACACCTTCCACTTATACCCCTCCCCAACATATGTACAACCTCACACATTTTGTGTTAGATTTTCCATATGAAGCTGACCACCTTTCATTGTTTAGTGTCAGGTTTTGTTCCTTGGTAGCAAAGCATCCAAGTGGAAAAAAGGCTTAGTGAGAACCTCAAACTTCATATTTCCTTGTTTCAAGGTGAAATGCAACATGACTCATCCCTTCATCATCTGCTTGGGGTTTTCATAATATTAAAGGATGGAGCTGCTGTAACTCTCCTCTCTCTAGCCAGGATGTCTGTGTCATAGCAGAACATGACAACACCAATCTCTTCATTTCACCCAGGGTTCAGTGAACAGCTCCGAGGCACTTCTCTGTCTCCAGATACCCTGAGCAGCACGAGGAGCTCTAGCACGCATAGGACACATAGGGTCTACAGTTCTGATACAAACAGCCTAAAACTCGTATTTCTGACCAGTGATCTCCTTATCCCTCCCTAACATAGTGTTTCTGAGCATCTTCTGGCTTAGGACAAGGAAGAACTAGAAAATATCTGGTGGACTTGGAAGGCAGGACTCAACACTAATACTGCAATTATAGAAAATCAGGCCACTATTTTTCTGTCTGCCCTGTTCACTTTTTACCTGAACTAGCTCATTCAGGGGATTACCACTTTGTTTGCAATTCTCAGTCATGATTTACCTTGAATGAAATCAAATCAATAAAATAGCTACCAAAGTGACATCTAGAAAGCTGTCTGGAAGAAAGTATATAACAAATGCAATAAAGGAGCCCCCAGAAGAATAGCAGTGCTCTTCCCTTTTCTAACACATGGAGGGATACAAACACATATATTTCATGAACTGTAGGATCATAGAATAGTTTGGGTTGGAAAGTACCTTAAGATCATCCAGTTCCAACCCCCCTGTCATGGGCAGGGACACCTCACACTAAACCATGTCACCCAAGGCTCTGTCCAGCCTGGCCTTGAGCACTAAGAGGGATGGAACATTTATCACTTCTTTGGGCAACCTGTACCAGTGCCTCACCACCCTCATAGTAAGGAACTTCTTCCTTATATCTAAACTGAATTTCCCTTGTTCAAGTACGAACTAGTTACCCTTTGTTCTATCACTACAGTCCCTGATGAAGATTACAGTCATCTAGATTGGGTCCTATCCCAAATCCACATACCTTAGTGAATGATAAATAAATACCCATCAGGGAATACATTTATACAGGTGCATTGTCAGCAGCAGCCTTATGCCCAATGTGTCTAATTATATCAAGCTTTGAGAATGTGACTGAAGGTAGTCACATATTGAATTTATTCAGGCATCAATAGCCAATGTGGGTGAAATGCAGCCAGAGGTGCTGGCAACTCATATTTAAATCACTGTGGTGGATTGTTCTTGGGAAAGAATTCGTGTCAGCTACACTTAGATTAGACATTCAGATGTGTCAATGACCCCACATGTGCTTTATACCAACAGAAGGGAATAGGCACTTGTAGGGTGTGATTTGACTTGGTTTAAGTCTATAGTTGGGGAGAAGGTTAGTCATGCTCTCCTTTTCACTCAGTGGACCAATCAGTTCTCTGATGATGATGAAAGACTCGATGATAAAAAGAATGTGAGCAACTAGCAGAGATGTAGATGTCCTTTTCTGATCTGATGACTCCCACTTGGAAAGCTTGAGGCTAGACTTCTGGCAGACTGCAGATCAGGACAAACTGTGCCAGAGCAAAAAAAGAATGACTGTGGCTGGATCAAAAGGAAGGTTTGAGCTGAAGGGCTGAGTGTGCCTCACTTCTAATCATGGCCCTATAAAAACATCACCCAGAGCTGGAGCACCATGTATGACAACTGGCAAGACAGTGGCAGACAGTTTGACCAGACCTACCACCCAGGCACAGTTTCCTCTCAGGAAAGCTGCAGTTATGCGGGGGTGGCAGCTGCTGGTATTTTCTCCCTTCTCAGCACATACCACCATGGAGTTGTAAGAAGAGACAAGTCATTATTTGCCCAGCCACAAGGTATCATTGCAGACAAATGGAACAAAGTCCAGGCTATATTTAGACTGAAGACGGCTGGGGTTTTATTTTCCCTCCCATCTCCCTCAGAGTGGTGTGAGCCTACAAAACCAGAGTCATCTCTGTGTACCAAGAGCAAGGGGGTCGAGATGTCCATGAGAACTGTTCTGGAGACCCCAGACAGGAGGGATTCAGAAGACAAGCAGTAAAGTTAGGTTCAGCCTAAACCAAACAGTGGGCAAATGAGTCTCAGTGCATTGTACCCACAGTGACCCATATCCATGCTTGGAGGCACCTCTGTCTGCTGCTTTAATGTAACAGGCATCCAAGGGAGTGAATGCCTCCAGGGGTATGTCTGATGCCCACTCCTGCACCAGGCACTTACAGTGCTACACACCAGCATCACCCCAGGCTTCACTGAGCCTGGTCAACAAAGCAGCCATCATCACCCAGAGCTGGAGGCTACAAAACCTATTCACAGTCTTAAAGTGAATTTACTTTCCCCTATATGGCTTTACATTCTCCAGTTCCTCCGAAGCAGACTTGTGGTTTTGTTTATTTGTTTGTTTGTTTGCTTGCTTGTTTGTTTGTTTTAAATACACTGGTACTTCAGAACAATTGATTTTCCCCTGGCATATTTCCTGCTGGCAACTGAGGTTTTAAAGCAAAGGCACTGCTATGAGTGCCAAGCATCCACAGCACCACGGCTCACAGTAGTAGTGTTTGATGATGCTGACTGCTAATATCTTTCCACTTGTGTCCTGCCCTTGTGTGGGCCATGTCACGTGTTCTTTAAAGACACCAGACATCTGAATAAGCATTTTTCTATAACAAACTGGAAGTATGATGCCAGCTTTCTTGGTCTTTTAGCAATCTTGGCTTGAGGGGATCATCACCTGGCCACTGGTGGTATCAGCTGTAGCCCTAATGCTACTGTCCTCTTTGCCTGAACCATGACATTAAGCTGTTTTTTTTCCAGAGACACCAGGAGGGATACATGCACCCACTAGTGCTGCTGTTAAGGTCATTCACAGCTTCATATCTCAGTGAATTTTTTATAAAGCCATAGTATCTCAATCAAGGACATAACCCTGTGCATGATAAATCAGACATAACTAAGCCTGAAATAAGTCCTATTAATAAAACTGTTGCTAGCCAGCTGTCAAGAGGTTATCTGGGGGCAAGCATTTAGACAATGCAAGCAAGGAGCCCGTCCAGAAAAGAAACAATATACCTCTTGTTTCATAGTACATTGAGGAATCTTAATACAAACAGCAAGATTTTTCACTTAGCCATGACAGGGATAGTTTTAGAGAAGGAGAAAGGGTTTTTTTACTGTGTTCTTGGGAAACCGATTTAGGAGGCAGAAATGCAGCAGATGGAAAGAGGCCCAGAAGGCCATCAAGATCAGTATCGTTGTGTTGAGGTTACATTTGTATTTCACAA